TATGGACCAAGGTCGATATACTGCGCACAATCTTTGGCGGTTGTAGGTACAATCGACGCGACGGTCGCCGGACAGGCGTCGGTAGCGGGAATACCATGTTTAGCTACTACCTGTATATATTGGGACATTATGTAATTGCTGGCTTGCGCCTTATATGGAGTGAGTGTCGGCCCGGGGGATATTCTATGCAGCGCAAGATTGTCGATACGATTGACCATTCCAGCATCGGACATGTAACCTAGCTTTCCATGGGATAGATACAGATAGGCAAACTCATATGTCTATTCAATTTCTGGCTAGGCTGGCAGTCCAATTTCTGGCTAGGAAGGGATAAGTGTACATTCCATGAGCTATCTGACATCGAGCTACTCCAGCAGTCTTGCATACTGGATAGATTCATGCAGCTTACTTATCTATATGCCTATCCGTGGGTTAGATAAAGAGCAGCAAACGCAGTGAATGTCAGGAGTTCTCAAACCTGCACTTGCTTCACAGCCATGTTGACTGGCACCTCTCAGCGTACGTTCGCCTTGATATGTCTAATGATTAGGACCTCTCTGAAGAAGGCATCGCAGTGGATTCGCAGTCGTAATGGCTGAAGACGTCCCTGATATTCAGAACCAGGAAAGTGAGAAGACCATCACTTGTGAGAGAGTAGCCACGCATCGTTTGTCAATTCTGCCTGATAATCGCGTCTCCAACCAGATGCATGGGATACATTGTGTCTCGAAAGTATCAATAACGGTACCACTCCCCTCACGTCCCACCGTAAAATGCGCCGCGTATATAATCATCTCCTACGCATTCACCAAGGGCCGAAAGACTTCTGAACTTCGGGCCGCTACTTATGGCGGCGGCTCAATGCTGCGCCGCTGATTACCCCTCCCTTCCACTCCCCTATCATGGATAGCATCTTGTCTCCGCTTCCTTCGCACTCGGGTTTGTGAGTGGGCGGCTGTGACGGTAAAATACTGCGCTCCTCATCAGGCCTCATCCAGGGTTGCCGTTGATATGACAGGCTAGACTAGCATGTTAGCATTCATTAGAACGTTGTATGACTACCGGTAGCGCGCGCAATGTGTAGAGATTCCGCTAGGTCAGCATATGAACAGTGGGTATCTTCCTGGCAGGTCTTGCTTGGCCTTGGTACCTGCCCAGGGCTTCGTCTGGATAACGGAGCATGGAATCAGCTTCGAAGTTCATATGCAGTCGGAGTCGGGAGTTGGAGATGTAGGCCTAGGGACACGGACCAGACGGTGATTTCCAGGAGACAGGAACCTTACCCAGTGCATGTTGTTTTCTTTGAAATTGCTGTTCAGATACACTGATGCAGTCCTGCTCTCATGCAAACTACAACGAATACTTGGCATAAGACTCGAGTATTCAGCCGTCCAGCGACTACACCCCGTTATGGAAGGAGAGCTACCATTTATAGACGACATGGCCACAGCCGGTTACTACGTGGTGTTACAGCCACAGCTATGCACCGCATGCGCCTCGACAATTTGAAAAAGAACACAAGGCGGGATCTCTGCTCATGCGCTCGACGTATACGTACTGTACTTCCGCCTCTGTGAGAGTGCCTGTTTTGCCTCTATCCAGACAAGACCTGGAAAGGCTCCATTCCAGCAGCGCCCCTGTAGCTAGTACCATGAACAGGTGACTTGAATCCGGTCTTCAAGCTAATAATCGACGTCTGCATGCGGAGGCAGCGTGCCTGCACGGCCGGATGCTTTTAAGGCTCGGGTCATGCACCGCCAGCCCGCCCCAGAGGCGGGATGCCCTGGCCGACGTTTAAACGTTTCACGTCTGATCGTCGCGATCATCCACCCCGCGACGACGATTATGTTCCTTGAGTTACGTCTTCCGCTTATGTGGTACAGTCAGCTGAGGGCGCAGTCCTCATGAGGTGGCGAATACACTGCGGGCTAGCTTGCCCTAGGCATGGGGCTTACAGTATATAAGGAGCACGGATTATCTTTCATTCAGTATCCTCGACGTCCTCATCCACTCTCCATACCTTTTCAAAGACCTAGTCTTTCGTTCTATCCTCGAGTTCAGACATGAAGTTCTCCGTCGCAGCTGCCGTCTCCTCCGTCGCCGCGTTGGCAAGCGTTGCATCCGCTCAGTTCTGCCCTCAGGCCACCCAGTTCGGCACTCTCATTGTCTCGCCCACCAGCTTTGCTGCCCACGACGTACGTTGGAGGACACTCCTTTCTTTTCCGTCACATTCGCTAACGCTTGTGATTGCCAACAGACCGTCACGATCAACGCAGACTTCACCTGCGCCGTCCAGTACTTCGGCCACGTCCCCAAGTACACCGACTACTACTTGTCCGTGCCCGTGAACAACAACGGCCACGAGCCCGACATCCTCCTTGCCCACCACGAGCCCGCTGCGGGCACTCTGCACGAGAACTTCACGGTCGAGGTAAGAGTCTTCCCTCCTGCAGAGTCCCGTTGTCGGTTCTTAACCTAGTGCATTCTCAGATCCCAAGCGCCTACTACTTCTCTGGTGCCAGCTACGTCGTCACGCTGAAGAACACCTTCGCCTCGAACGGCCCCGACGGTACCCCGTACTACTCGGTCGGCGGCGTTGAGGCCCCCGTGACCATCACCTCCACCACGAACTAAGCGCATGGCCGGATGTTGGACTACTTCTGAGCTTCTACGGACGTTGAAGGACATTATAGTCTTATTCTACTTTTTTTCCCCGGATTCAGTATCTTCGCATAATAATGGCTCTGCCTTGACTCAATGCATGAATGTTCGTTCTGAAAACAAAAAGGAATGAGATTGTCCATGAAGATGCGTAGTCCGATTCAGAGGTGAAGTAATATGAAGTCGATATACAAATTCCTCCCTAATCACTGTAACGAGTGGAAAAGTCGCCTCCGCCCCTTCCTTCCTCCTTGTGCAGCGGCACAGGAGAGTAGCTAGGATTCACTGTACGCGCCTGCCCTCCCTGTCTCGCCCCCTTCCGAACGCAGAACATGATCCCTATTCCGCATAGTATGACCCCTAGAAGGAGGTTCCCTGCGAGCAAGCCCAGCACTACGGGACCATACTTATCGAGCTTATTGGAAAGAGCAGGCCACCCCGATGAGAAATGATCGGAAGAGGTAGCTGCCGCGTTCGAAAGCCTCTCATCGACGTTTCCGCTCGGCTGTGCCTCATTCTGGCTGGTTGCTTCTGGCCACTTCTTCAGCAGCTCACTTCTGGTACGTTGAAAGTCTTCCAGCGCCTCCTGCATGTTCGCTATCGTAGGTAGCAGCTGCACAAAGGGGTCGCCTAGCTTCAGGGAGTCCGCTACATCTGAAGTGTTTATGTAGTCGCCGAGGTTAAAACTGTATCAAAGTCATTAAGCGAGAGAGAACGGGTAATATAACAAGGGGACATACACGGAGTATACATTCTTCAGGAACGCATCGCCCAGAAGGATATCAAGGTCACCAAGAAGTCTTTGCGAGCCCACCGCGAAGGTACTGTAGCATTGAGCGGAGTCTGAGTCAGACGTGATGGAATAAGTATAGTCAAGTGGATGTAGATTAATCTCTTGTCCGCTGTCATTCAGAAGTCAGAGTGGAAACGTGACAGGTGGGATTGACGACAAACCCAAAGATGAAGGTAACGTTCGCAGAGGCCATGCAGGGCAGCCGGTAATTTTGATCCCCCTCCTGGTATACCGCACTGGGTATATCCGCGTAAAGGAAATCCAGCAACGGCTTCGTTGTGTATGCTAACGAAGTGCCTGTATCCAACAGCGCGAGAGCTTTATCCTTGGGTGTCGACTTCCCGGCCTTGGTATACGAATCGAATGCGAAAGACCTCCCGTTGACTTTCAAGCCATCGATGAGAACCTGCCACCTGGGCGATTCATCTGGGGTCTGAGGGAGAATGACAGGAAGGTTGGGCGTTTCGGAGACCTTCTCATACCCGTCCGCGTATTCGCAGATAGTGAACAACCCATTGCCAGTATTGTCCAAGTCGTCCCGCCGCCCGAGCAGAAAACTGATGAAGTTTGGTCCTGTCACATTCTGCTGGAAGATGTTGGATAACACACTCTTCCCCAGAGTATTGCCCCATGCCAGCGCAACTTGCGTTGCTACCTGAGAAAGGCCCTCGAAGGATACGCCCAGTATGCCGTTCATGCCCCCGGCAAAGAAGGTTTCGTCACCAGTCGACTGCACGACAGTCAAGAGCGGTGAAACAGTTGTGAAATAGGCACTCACATTCGCGACGTTCAGGAAAGCTGTATGGTATCAAACTGAGCCTTGGTTCAATTCATGTCCGTGGACATTCGCACCTTGTCCGTGGATAAAGTATGGACCAATCTCAACATCAGCGAAGTCGACGAACCCAGCGTCGCTCCCTGAGCCGTACGTGAGATCGACGAAAACGTTACTGTGGTTCGTCAATTGCGGTTGACGATCAGGCGCATACACCCATAAATCGGAGGATCCTGTGTCGAGCTGCACCACGAATTCTAAACATGCGATGGATTAAGTTACTGTATGTATAGGAGGGCCACTCTTTCCTACCTTCCCCACCCAACGTAATAGCGGTCGAGTACTAAGGGCACATGAAACAAACGTGAGCTAAATCCGTTCGCACCAACGGGAGAGGGGCAGGCACACTTACAGCGATATCCTCGGAATGCCCGCTGAAAGTGATATCTCCAACAGACTCGTTGAAGCCTGAAGTATTGCCCTTGTATGACACCCCAAAGCTATGCCCAGCCGAGGTGGACCGACGAGTCAACGGCAGCTTGAGGGCCTGCACAGCGTCATACTGCACGACGAGCAAGCTTAAGGGCATCAAGAACCACGAAAACCACTTCATCTTGGGAAGCTGACTGCAGAGGGGGGATTGTCCGGCACATCCTCGACAGGCGAGTTTTATACCTTGATACGGCCATCAGAGGCTCGGGGTAGCATACGACCACTGAACGCCCGGATTTGCCGAGAATACCGACGCCGCTCTGCGGCGTGCAGGAACCGCTGGGTTGATGCAGCTAAACCGATGCAGATATGGGTCCGTGGCTGAGGGGAGCGCGCACCGCCTGCAGAGGAGAGGGCACCGTGCATACCATGAGCACCCTGGTGTTTTTGAATGCCTCGTACTCGAGGACAACTGTTGGAGAGGGGATGTCCTCGCAGTAATTTTCTCCTTGATAGTTGAGGGGGTGTCACCTCGTCTGGCTTCATTTGACGTTATCTGTAGCTGAACCCTGAGGCAGCATGAGGAACACTTCAGAGTCAGTTATCCTTGCAACGACACGCGCCACGAACCTTGAGACACCGGATCCCGCCTGCCCATCGTGGAGGGGACTGCACAGGTACATCCATCGCGCTTCTCGGGCAGGAGCACCGGAAGGAGGACATCTCGGGCACATCTTGAGTTCGCCACATACAATTTGATATGTGTTCTTTTGAGACGTGGATAGGTATAAGGGCAGCGTCAGTACAGGGTTCTTGCTAGGAAGCTCATGGACTTACACCGACTCGGACTAGTGCATAGACAATCTAGCTGGTCCGCTCCGTCAACACCAAGGAACATTTGAGTTTGATCTCGCACTCAGGCTCCGCGGATACATGCTCAGGCTGGCCATTTCCTGCTGAGGTTGCGGCACGTCCGAAGTCGCAACACGAAACCGCCCTTTCGCACAGATTGACGATAGAATTTCGATAGACATTCGTATCGAGTCAATGCGGGCACGTCATGATGGTTACGACTCTACCACAACTCCGAGACTAGGTGTCCAATTGCAAAGGGAAATGAAGTCAAACGTTCGATATCTAAGGTACGAGAGCCGTCCGGGCCCGGCGGGTACTAGTAAAGAGACAACGTTAACAAGGTAAGCGCTACATCGAGTAGTAGCATTTGTTCTGTGAAGACGCCGCCCCGGTGTGGTTTCAAGAGCTAAGGCTGAAATGGCATAATTTAATGGAATTACAGAGCGTGAGCTCATAACGATACAACGGAACATTACGAAAGCTTCTACAGGTATATGGATACAAGATTATCGTAACACTTCGTGAATCCATCCATGGTCTACATTGAATGACCATTCATTCCGCTGTCACAGTCCAAGAGTATGGGGATAAGCTTTCCCTCCCAACATTCGTTTTGCTCGTGTCCGAGAGACAAGGGCGCAAAATCACCTTTAAGCGATATGACCATTGCCGCGGCCGTACGTCCCCTGGCCATACGTCGGCATGCCATACGTATCCTGGCTATTCCTCGCCGTCCCGCCTGCAGTGCTAACACTCCCCCGACCCCAAATCGTCGCCCCCTGGCCAGCCAAGCCGTTCTCGCGCATCAGGCGGTCGCGGCTGAGCTCGCCCTTGTGCATGCCCTTGCTCATGTACAAGTCGTACACGAACGTGAGGAGGTAGAACGTGTACCCGAAGGCGATTGTCCACTCGAGGACGGCGCCGACGTTGGTGGACTGGTAGAGCGCGATGGCGAAGGCGATCGCGAGGAGGATGAGCAGGCCTGCGATGAGCGCTTTTGCGAGGTAGGCGATTTTGAGTCGGCGGATTTCGGTGAAGTCTTTGGAGATCCAGCGAAACTGGATGCGGTGTGTTAGGTTCGTCCACAGGCAGAACATGAGTGGACCAATAGTACGTACCTCGATGATGGTGAAAATGGCGCTTAGACCCACGCCGACGATGAACACGAGTAGGAATACTCGGTGTAGGGATGTGAAGCGCTTTGTGTCGAAGATCGAAAGGAGAATAAGTCCGCATCCGCCGATAAATGAGCCGAGAATTGCGAGTATTGAGAAGACTTTCTCTCTCCTCCGCATATCAGCGATAAGCCTGGTAACCCCCGTCAGTTTTTGCAACGCAGCGCAAACGATGCGCATATACTCACCTCCCCGAGTGCCTCAGCCACCGCTCGCACACGAGACTCAAGAAAAACGACACCGCCGTGATACAGCACCCCACGACGAACAGCGGCTTCAAGATATCCGCTCCAATATCTGAAATGTAGGGTATCGACCCGTCTTCGGACACATAATGCGGCTTGCCCTGCGCTGCCCAGGTAACAATCATCGCAAGCAGCGTCCCGCACCATATGAACGCGCCGAACGCGGGTATCCAGACGTACGCCCAGTGGTGACGGCGATGGGAGAAGATGGCCATAGCAGAGGAGGGCGTCTATGGATAAAAGACCGGGATGAAATGAAATCTAGCGGACGAGCAGGGAGTGTATGCGTACTGTGGGGCATGGCTGGGCGAGGTGGACGAGGTTATACAGCCGGTGGGTTGACGTCACACCTGCGGACGGGCTGTCGGCCCCCGCTCCGGATACTGCATCGGGCGAGCCGGCGGCAGCGGTGGATACGGACTGGAGCTATTGCAAGCGCTCTCGTCCTTTGTTCCATCCATGACGATGCGGCGAAGGCGTTTGTAGGCTGCGCAGGCCAGTTTCTTACGTTGTGTTGAGGTCGTTGTAGGTGAGTCAGCGGCCTCTATATCCGTTTTGACAGATGTATGAACAGTTCGCGCTTTCGGAAGGCTGCAAGTCTTTTGTGGCTTTTTCTCTGTCCATGATCGCTCGACACGCAGTAATCGTTGACATAGCCCATTTCCTTCGTCTTATGAATCCGGCTTGTTGAAACTCCCAGTAGTGCCAGTGGAGAAGTCAATCACGGAAGGACTGCCTAATGCCACGAGTTGTGATTTTGCTCACGGCCTTGTGGCATGAGGCAATCCTCTATCTAGTATTCTTAATGGTGGCTTGAACTCTCAGCCCGGATGACGCGCCGCATAGTATTCATACAACTCATGGGTCCATAAACCACCAAGTCACATTGATAGCATCTTTGCTCTGTGGCGATAGTTCCCTCCAAGCAACCTCTGACAACTTGATATCGTTGTCGCTGCATCCATTGCATATATCGTCCATGATCGCGTATACCACGCTCGAATTATCACCTGTTGGGTGAGTGATCAATTGCAGTATAAACGCGACTGGCGAACAGTGTCCTGGGCTTACTCGTGACGCCAATCAATGATCCGCATTTGTGAGTTTGGAATTGGTCTCGCGAGAGGGAAGCTGGCGGCAGGCGTGATCCTAGTGCGCAGCCAGATAACCCTGGTTCGTACCAGGTAGCTAACGCAACGTATATAGTATGAATATCCCAGCCGACTGAACGAACAAAGCACTCTACCTGAGCCGACCGTGGACGCAGCCACGATGGATAGTGCTGCTAAGACCGATATGATAGTGTGGATGTAGAAGAACATGACGCAATGGACGTCTGGGAATACTTCTATTCGGGCCCTTATACAGTCCGCCGATTTATATCAGTCGAGCCTTTGAATGTCCCGCAAGGCAGAGACAAACATACTTGAGCAGATTGGCATCAATCGTCGCAGGCATCATCGTGTCGCGCCCGTACAGGGCGTACACCGCCACAGCACCTTCCACTATATTGCTTAACCCAAGGAGAAGCAAGTCTATCAGTCCCGGAGTTATCATCACTGCCCATCGTAAACGGCTGTGCCTGAGCCTCGGTTCTGGACTACGTACGTAGACACCTCGCGCACTTCACCGCACAAGTCGTGTGTGCACGCGTAGAATGTACCTGTTTTGCTCTCGCCTGCATCAGGCGAAGTCACCCTATGGAGATACCAACTAGTGGGACCCGGAGGTGTACAGGAACCACTGATGCCTAGTAACTTTCGGGATCACCGCTGTAGATGATAAGCTAATTTCCATCTTCCGTTCAAAAGGATGCAGGAGAGTCAAGCGCGAGGCCACCTTGGACTTTTCAACCTGAAGCTCATCAGTCTTCGATCGCAACAAGGCGTCGCACATGGGCCCCGTGAGTCTTTTACCACTCCTCTCGTCTCTATCTCACTGACAAGATGCGCCTGCATCGCAGTTTCAAAAGTTCCAATTCCTTGTGTTATGGGTAAGACCCTTAGAATAAATCCTCCTTTCGTCATGATATGAACGTCGGTCCAAACAGATCTCGAGTCTGCTCTATGGTGCGCGCTCTTTTTGCCGCTGTTTTTCAAGTCTGACCCAATTTGCACGTGACCAGGTTCCTATCTCGTGATATTCATAGGCGCTGTCTGCCTCCTCCTGTCGCGCACCCGCGAGCGTTGCGCCAGAGTCTTCCTCCTGACCGCCATCATTCTGCTGTGGGTCGCCATAACCGGCCAGACGATCATCTTCCTCCTGGACGACTTCCTCGCGTTCGAGATCCAGGCGGCGGGGACATCGGAGACAGAAGAAGGGCTGCGGGTGACGAATATCGCCAATATTCTTACCATTGTCGGGGACGCGTTCAGCGTTACTAGCTTGTGAGTCTGCATTTCCTCCGCTGTTTAGGGGAGATTGTACTTACAGTGCTGGTAGCGTTGTCGCAGATAGCATACTTGTAAGGCACCTGATTCGTCAGGATCCCGATTCTAACCATCAAGCAGCTCTGGCGTTGTTTCCTCCTCTACAATCGAAGCTGGAGGGTTGTCCTGTTCCCGGGGGCTATGCTGCTTGCCGTCTTTGGTACGTATCCTCCCTCCTAAAATCATTGGTCTCCGCTAAATAAACTGCACTCGTGATCATCCAGGCTCCGGAGTGACCATCATGGGTATCGACATCAAGCTGTATCTCATTAGGGCCGCTGCGAGTGCCGACGTGACAGGCCCGCCAGCGATATGGATGCGGTTGTCCGACGTACAGACGTATCTCAATATCGTCTACTACGCCGCATCCGTGTCCACCAATCTGTATGCAACGGGATTCATTGGTAGGTCGCGCGTTGGGGAGGGAAATTGTCTTGCTGACTTGCTACAGCGTTCCGTATATGGCGCGTCACTCGGGAGGTCAGAGATATCGTTGGGAATAGTCATGGCAAGAGATTCATAAGCGCAGCGCTTTTAATGTAAAAGGAATCCCTATACCTGTCGCGTACTTACTAACTATTTTGTTTGCTGTGTTCAGAGCGGAATCAGGCTTCATCTACTCAGCAGCACTCCTGCTCGCAATCATTGTACAACCTATGTTCAATTCATTACCAAATCTCACGGTACGCTCTATACCTCCGATGCTTGCGCCATCCCGCTGAATCAAAAGTCTCTAGCGCATCGTGGGCGTTGTCGTCTTCTATGCCTCGGTGCGTACTTCAGAGCTCTCTCAGCGGTCTCTGCATTCATCAGACATTGCATAGGGAATCGTACCTACATTGCTCGTCGCGCTCATCGGCATCCGCAAAACTATCGCGCCCACAAAGCCCTCGGTACCGACCCTTCTGACCATTCCTGCGACACTCATGAAGGAACACGAGGAGGACCCCACCGCGCTACCCGCGGAAATCCGAGGCACTTGGACGCCCGAGGAGAACGATTCGGCGAGCAGTTGGCTCAGACGCGACGGCTCGAATACGGCGCTCCAGGAGTCTTTGGCGGTGTACGTGAGTGCGAGCAGGAAACTCGATCCTGTACGGGTTAATTTCCATGGAGGGCCCCAGCGCCGATGGTCCGCGCATTACTAGACCAGAGGAGCGGGAAGATGCTTTCTTCTGGGCTGGACGCACGCGCTCCTCTCAATACATTGTATTTTATTCATTCGGTATGGAATGCGAAGTGAAAAGGCTTTGTCAAAGTCGCTCGCGTTACGGGTGTAGTGCATTTCGGTTGGCGTGTTCCAATTCAATCACCGTTACTGCTGAATCCCAGAGCTCCAGACCGCGGCCTTCGTGCAACAGGCACTTGGGACACGTACTCAGGTCAATTGCGTACTTGGACCGTTGAACTCCGTACCAAAGGGAACGGAAGGAACGGTTCGCCCTGGTGAGCGTATGGATGTTGAAGCACCGAAGCATGCTGGACTCATGCAGGTCATTGCGGATGACCCAGACTGTACCTCTATTGAACGAGATTTCAGTTGATCTATGCCTTCGCAAAGTTATGCTGCTGATCTGCTGGCGCCGGGTAGGAGACCCACCATACTAGACGCTTGAACACAGGCGACTGCAATGCTTTACTGCATCTTGTGGATCCAGTCCGGAAGACGAGGATAAGACGAGATGCTGTGCTTTGCGGGGCCTACCAGGGTTGAATACTCTGAGCTGAGTGTTCCTCCCGCTGCTGCCGCTTCCCTCCCCATTTCTCGGATTTTGGTTGCCAGAGTACCAACCGTGATGGCCATGAATGCTAAGCGTATCTCCTTGCCGTTACAGGTTCATCAACGCTGAAGGTCGTCGCAACGGACCTTTCCATATGGCTGGCGAAGACGCGCCCCTCAACATCGTTTACTGTCTCTATACCAGAGGAGTCATCGGGAGGTCTGGGTAATACGTCCGGGACTTGCCATAACGTGTGCCACACTGCCGGTATCAGCTGCATTTGCAGTTTGCTCTATTATGATGTTGGATGAACTAGGAAGTCCCATACGTCGGAAGGGATTGATCACAGCCCGACATTCGTGGCAGCGGCTCTCCTGATGTAGGTTGCTTTCCTATAGGTTTATCTATAGGCTGATCATTAACATTGTGTTCCGTCTGTCAAGAGCGAAACACGGGGGTATCTCACCACTGAACTCGAGGAAGGCTCAGGAATTTGAACATCCGAGGGAAAAAATACGGCGAGAAATTCGAAATGCACTCGAACACGGCAATGTAGGTGAGTTCCAGGAGACAATCCGACCCTGAACACGATGGCCTCTCTATGTAGAGGGTTCTCGTATGGCCCGGACCTTGCTAGACAAGAGGCGACAAATGCACTCTTCTCAATACACTGAAGCAGCTTAGTATAGCATGGTGCCATTGCAGGCATAGTACATGTCTGATGAGCCACTCCCTGTGGGTTTCCAAACCTTCCCTTTATAAGGAAGCCCTCGGCGGTGTACATGCATGAAAATCGTAAGACGGAAGTGCATTGATCTGGTGTGTGTGCATAGAGGTACTCGCAGATTCTACTTCTGTGAACGATGTTTGTCCTGAAACCAATTTTAGACGGGAAACCTGAACACATGTTCTGATTTCATTTTCTTATAACCAATACACCCATACGTCCCTCACTTCCCTCCAGGGCCGTGAGTAGATGTGAGTAGAGATGCCTTCGTGAGTCCCGACATATGCCATTCATCGCAATTACAGATTGCGGCGTATTGCTCGGTCATCCGAGTCCTCGACGTGTGAGAGAAACCGTACGCCCTCGTCTTGTGCAAATTTGCCAATCACCTGTACCTAGGGGTCGCAGTGCAAGGATCAGAGTACTGATGTGTCAAACGCCTGGAAGAACAGAAAACACGTTGTCTGTCGTTCTCGATACTGTATGTCTGTTCCACGGCGGAAATACAGGGGGCAAGAGCTTACACTTCCCCCCTACCCGTCCTCTACTGGCGATGCAGCTTCAGGAGGCAGCCCAAAATCCCGGAAAGGTTGTCGAAACAAAGATCTGAAACTGGCTCGCTGTTCAACCCTTTGCATGTCTTGGAGGGCCTGTAACGATGCCGTACGCTCACCCTGGGGATAGGATAGTTATCATGACGAGCATCTCGTGACCTTACAAAACTCATGTCAGTTTCATTGGTAAGTTATGAGACCTGGGTAATATTTGCAGACAGCACTGCATATCACCACAGCAATGCCTACGGTGTTATCCGCCTATGCTCGTGATATCTCAAATGTCATTCCAGATCCAGGATGACGTTGGCGGAATTCGAACAAGAGGCTTTATTATCACCTCCACAGCGTGCTCGCGACAACCGCGAACTTGGAAGCTGCGGAAGATAAAGCGCAGAAACGTCGCATGAACTCTCCAAAGCAGTTCGTCCTCCCGAATCACGGAGCTGCGAATTCTGCACGTCTGGGAGTCCGGAAAACCATGGTACCTCGTCCACATGAGTACAGAAAGGTTTATTGGGGAGCGTATAGTGAATTTGAAAGTCGGTAATACCATTGCATGAGGCTCGGTTCGAAGCTGTCATCTCAACAGTCACATTAGCTTCGCACGCCAGAACTGCAGAACCAAAGTACCTCCAATTGAAAAGTAGTGCTTCGCGGATTGGACGTGCATCGCCGTGGATGTCTATCCAATATTGAATCCGTTCCGTCTGGGAACGTCCCGATGAATAATGTGGCACCCTGACATCCAACATTAGCACCTAAAACACAGTCTGGGGTTCAATTGAACCCGTATAAAAAGCCGCCAGACAATGAGCCCCAGCTCATCACAAGATTGCCTACTATGAAGCTTACTCACATCGTATCCCTGGGTTTCGCTCTGGCCATAGGCGCCTCCAATGTTTTGGGCACGCCGTTGCCGAACGCCGCCGTGAAGCGCGACGCGATTACGTCTGCTCTGACCTCTTTGGAAGACGAGATCAGCTCTGTTCTAGGTGAAATCAGTAGGTTTCCATCAAGCTGAATATTGTCATATGCCCGTGATTGACGCACCATGCAGCAAACCTCGGTCAATCAGGCGGCGCTTCAGCGGACAACCTCGCTCCACTCATTGAGCAGATCATCTCCGAAATTACGTCCACTACGGCCGCGATCGATTCAGCGAGTAGCGGCAGCGGCATTGGCGACCTCGTACCTACTGCCGGTACACTGACTACAATAATCACCGTAATGGGTACCTTGTCGGTACGCCTGCGACTGTACTAACGACCGTCCATATGTAGAACATAGCTACATCGCTGCAAACGGTGCCGACGAGCGTCATCTCTGCGACCCCAAATACGTCGGGCCTTGGTTCAGCCCTGGGCAATCTACAGGACGAAGTGAATGACATCGTGCCAGGAGTAACCGCAGAGCTCGCTAGCGCGTGAGTGGACCGACACTCTTCCTTCCCGCTTGGTTGGGAATTTTTTTGCTTCTAGGTTGGACCCCATTTCTTCGATCCTCGATAGCTTGGGTCTCGGTGACCTGCTCAGCGTCTTGGGTCTTCTCACCGGCATCCTGGGAATTCTGTAGGGGAAGTCTTGACGCGGAGGTTAGGTGAGACGGCTTCCAACAGAAAGGCTCGCATTTCTTTGACGTAGTGGTGTGTACGGAGGACGCTGTGCTGAGATAGGGCACTGAACCTTTCGTCTTCGATTCTTTGGGCATTTTCCTTATCCGGATGTACAGTGTCGTCGGCGCTGGCTCGCATTTGCATGATTTTGAAAAACGTGGAAGAAAATCAACTCACAATAAACCCTGACAGTGCACCGCCCATGAAAAAGACGGGTACAGATATGTTTGTTCATCTTTGTTTGAGAAGCAAAGAAAGAGATCTGCCACGAGATGCTAAAAAGTAGTGAAAGTGTTGCAAATCGGTGGAACATAAAGACATTACAGGGCACGGCCAGCCAGGGCGAATCGTGGGGATAAGTACTCACTAGTACTGCGGCGAACGCATCCTGTCAGACCGTGATACTTAACCCCAGCGACCTTTCCATTGGCCATACTGAGTTTGTCCACAGGCACAACTACGTGAGCATGCAACTCGAGGGACTTGAATTTTCCCTAAGGACCTCTTTTACCTCTTTTCTGGCGTTTTTGCTTGACCGGCTATCAGAGAATGGGCTTGTTGGTGGAGTACTAGTACTACTAGTACGTATACGGCGAAGCCCCGGCTAACAGCCGTTTGCAGATCGATAGGCCGTCACTTCAGAAAGTCACATATAGTCGGAGTGTGTCGGACATGGTGCCAGGGACGTCCCAGAAATTAAACGAAGTCCAAGTGGTCTGATATTGGGGTCTTGGGGACTTGAATTTCCTTCTCCGACATGGTCCGACTGTAAATGATTTTCGAGAAATGGGCCCATCGAACTGCAAACGGCTGAAATGTTATTGCCCTGGTTTTCTCACGCATTCTTCGGTTGTGCTTAACGTTCCTGTCGTGTCAGAACTAAACATCTAAACATGCACTGTGTTCTTGTGGACGCGTCCGTATCCCCCCCCCCCCCCCCCCCCCCCGCGGACGTGAATTCCAACACTAATGGTTTTTGATTTACAGTATCGATCTATTCGATACAATACTAGCCGATACTCAAATTCAAACTGCTATAGGCCGAGGCTCATCAGAATCGAGTTCAAGAGGAGGTACGTCAATATGGTGACGACTCCACCGACAAGGCTAATGAGGTTTTAGTACCCAATTTACCTGTTCATTTGAATATAGGTAACGTACAATCCTACGATATCAGCGAGCAGGCCTGCGATGAAACTTCCGACCTGTTGCAGAAAAGTGCCGAGCGCGTCATCCATAGGCAGCAGCATGGCTTGCACGTCTGCCAATGCCATGTCAGTCTTGGTCAGTCCGTCCATCGTGAACGTGATGTCCTGAACAATCGAGGTGAATAGAGTGCTACCAAAAGCATGGAAATTACATGTATGCACACTGATGAGATTCCCCATCGTTGATGCAATGCCGTCCGTGTCATTGGTCGCTCGTTTGACGCGGACACTTGGGAGCCCGACCAGAGAAGAGCTGGCAGCATTGATGGCGGCAACGAGGTCGGCGATGACAGGTGTTACTGTGTCTACGGACGCATTTCCCTCATTGATGAGATCGGCTACACGAAGGTATGAAGATAAGATCATTTTACACGGAGCGTACAACGTCTACTTACTTATCTGATTTAGAATTGGACTTGTCGCCTGCTGCAAACTTGCCACAGCCGACTCCACTTCACTTATGGTGTCCCGCTTGATGACGGACTCGGATCCTCCTACGTCTCTTCTATCTTGAAACCCAAATCTTAGTCCCGTAGCGCCGGTTACGTGGAGCACAGATGCGAAGAATAGGGAGAGCAGCACAGGTATCCTCATGACTGACACGACAGGTTGAAGGGTAAGACGCGAAGATAACGTCTTTGCTTGGTCTCCCGTTATGAAGGCCTCCTGTCCGTCTTACCCCTGGCTAATTCCGGCTCAACACAAAGTGTGTCGTAGGAGACCTATCAAACAAGAGAAGAGTTAAGCTCTTCAAGATTGTCTTCAACTCGGCGCCGAGCTGGATGCCGTGCGAAGCTACAGAGCAATGCTTGCCTACTGTCTGTCGGTCAGGTCGTGTGGCATTCATAGTCCTGCTTCCCTGCCATGCGCCGGAGTACCGTCATGAGACTCATCCTCCTTCACTCCTGGAACCACATATAAGTCGTTCCGGACTGAGCCTTTGTCCACAACTCTAATTATGTTCCGTTGCCAGCGCGGTGTTTATAGTTTCATCCCATGTTCCAGGTTACCCACGGCGCGGGGCCTTCGGGTCCACTTGACATATGCGTATTACGATGACGGGAGCTCTATAAAGGCTAGTCTGCACACGGGTCCGCTAAGATCCGCGAGGGTGCGACATATGGTATGCATGCGGTCGGTGGCAACCCTTACCCTCCGGTAAGTGAATGAGCCACAATGTCCTCAGCGCAAAAGGACCGTAACATACATCGAGATAGTTATATGCGGAGGGTAGACACATGAATGTAGTCGAAGAAATTGAACAAATCCCGCTCCTCAGTTTCCTCATACTTACCCACCTGTTGCTCATAGATGAACCGTGTTTCGTGGATCATCGTGCCGTATGAGAACATCTTCGAAAATAGAGGTAAGCATAAATCAACAATCAATAGTTATGAATTGATTCACACTAGAGGCCCAGGATGCTCAAAAGGCCGTTGAGCAGGAGGAACGTCAATATGGTCACAACACCTCCCACAAGGCTGGTCAAGTCAGTATATACCTCCACATCCAATACGAACGCACAGAAACGTACAAGCCGACGATGTCCGCTAGTAATCCGGCAACGGCAGCTCCGAGGAATCCGAGGAACGGGGTGAGCGCCAAGTCGACGGGCTTCACCACCGCGGGGACGTTCGAGATGTTTGTCTGGGTCAGTCCGTCCATGGTGGTCGCGATATTCTGTGTATGGAAAATTGTCAGCGGCTCGTCTACGACTAACAAAGAGGCACGTACGTTGATGACGTCGGCCATGGACTTGGCCATGCTCTGGCTGGCGTCCACCGATGGGAAGAAAGTCTGGCCCTGGAATGGATTGACCTGAGACATAGCGCTTTCGATGGCGTTGACAAGATCCTGAATAAGAGGCTCAATATTTGACTGTGTGGCATTTCCCGAGTTCACGAGGGTAGCTGGACAAAGGAGTGAGCACATCGTTGAAATATTGTATGGATAACGTTCCGTACTGATCTCGGGGAGTATTTGACTGGCAGCCTGCTCGAGGCCCTGGACGGCAGCCTCGATCGCACTGAATGGATCGGTGGTCGTCTGCTTCGGGTAAAGGTAGGTCACATCGGGGACATCGCGTCCTTCTGCCTGGACGGACGGTACGGAGAAAGCGCTGGCTACGCCGATTGCGGTCACAGCAAACAGGGAAGCGATGAGGCGGAAGAGCATGTTGTATATATGTCAAAAATCCCCCAGTTGGCGAGATGTGCAAGCTGCTGGTTGTGTACGATTGAAGGACGTTATACCCCCCTTTATACCTTTTGACCATTGCAGCCTGTTATTGCGTGAAACTTTTTTCAGTGTTTCTAGGCTGGGTAGAAGCAGTTTCGGCGTGATACTTCATTTTCGTGGTTGGAAGACTTCGTACGACGATAAAAAGTCCTTTCGAAATAGCGCAATGCGGTCGGTGGTAACCTCGGGGCCGAGAGGCTGATTTACAAATTAGAATGGGCTGTACATTTGCAGCGTGGCCGAGTAATGCCTTCCCTCATCGTTCTACTCTCTTCCTCCTCGAACACCGTAAGTATTAGGGAAGTCATAGGTGAATCTGGATCTCCTGGTCTAGCCTACGCTTAATCCGCTAGTACAGACGTCGATGAGCCAGCTTCAGCCGGAGTTATGCTTCCCAAGAATCCCAATGAAACACAGGAAACGTATGTGAGAACCCGGAGGTGGAGTTCTCCGGAGGCAGTCGGCTCGGGTAGGTCAGACTGGCTCATAAGTGCATTTCGACTGTCAGACAATGGTCTCTCGCGTCATTTAGGAGGTCATGGCGTTCCGAATTCCATTAGGAACAGACACCCCATAGATTTGATGCCGTACAATCCGTGGAGTCGTGAGATGGTGGTTTCCGGGAAGTGCACTCTAACATTCAAGGATGACGCAGACTACAGCCTGAAGTGGTCTCATTTATGAGCATGGAAGAGTACAGCAGCAGTGGCAAGGCACAGATGCCACAATTCAGAATATTAATGCATCAGTACTTATGTGCTCTAATCTTGGGTTCAAACGTCCAAGGTGGAAAGCGCTGGTTTTTTCCGACCGGAAGGCACAACACGCGCCAACGTGTTGACTCCGTTAAAATTCACCAGAGTTGACCGTAGTAGGCACATTACCGGACGATATGGTACGCACTATTTTGCTAACCCCAAAGGCGTGGTCGTGATCGGGTTCGAAGACCGTGTACATGTACCGACAAGATGTGGCAGGCCAGCGCCACAATGAGCCCCTTTAATTAGTACAGCCACAGTCACGTGTATGTAATGAATCGATCCGAATCTGCGACGAAAGTTTACGCTTCAAGCTATCGGACGGTTTGGTATCGGTCTTCAACCTCAACGATGTCGACAAGTTGTGGAAACCCGAACGCGGAGAGCGATGCGCTCATGCCTCGTGAGCCCGAGTTGCATGCGGACATCGTTTCGCTTGCTTACAAGTCACAAATTTGTACAGGGAGACGGAAGTTTGACCGATCAAAGCTCTGTATTAAGTGCAAGATTAATCAAGGCAATATAGTGATCCGTCATGCTGTATATTGCAAGTACGCTCTAATTATTTTGGTACTAGCGCATCGTCTAATTCGATGGTAGGGACTGTTTCTTGCCCATGATGTACAATAAGATCAAGCGGACCATTGAACCGACAATCAACCCCACGCCAGAGGGTCCCCGCAAGAAAAATCTCAACCCGTCAGGGAACCTCGTCATAGCCTTCTCAGGGGGCCTCGGGTCCACAGTCCTTCTCGATGTCATTTATCGTGGTTATTTTTCTTCGCGACGACCTCGCGGAGAGACAAACACACTATCAGAAGGCAAAGATCCGAAGAAAGAAAGGGTGTGGAAGGAAGGCAAGGTCTGCTATGTTGAGGTTTGCGGGGCGTTTCACGGGGTACGTCTGCATCTCAGTGTGCCTGGGCGAACTGGACAGAACGTGATGCGTAGGGCAGATGCGCGACCGGACGGATGACGTGCGCCGCATCGTAGAGCGGTACGATGACCTTGAATTTGTGCCCTTACGCATCGAGGACGCGTTTGACGAGAGTTGGTGGGAAAGCGTAGGTGGCAAGCCGGCGAAGGGGCAGCTCGGTGTAGATGTCACCAATGAAGGTGAGAGCTACATATCTTGAATCCACGTGCGGTTCCATTCAATTGTGCATCCTCTCGAAACAGACTTGATACTATCGCCTTGCTCTAGGAACGGGACACCTCTGTCCGCTCTATGCAACTACCTATCCTCCCTCCCTGCTCCTACAGCTATTCCATCAACGCTTCAGACCCTAACCCGCCTTCTTCTCCTACATACTGCTCTATCGACCCACTCCTCTCACCTCGCCCTCGGCACTTGCCTCACGTCTCTCTCAATATCCCTTGTATCGCTGGTCGCCCAAGGCGGGGGTTTCAATCTCAAGGAGGAAGTGCAAGAGGAGTGGAGTCCAGATAGTTTGTCACGGTCGAAAGGTCGGAGCGTAAGGGTTGTGAGACCACTGAAGGATATTGTGATGAAGGAGTGCGCGATGTATGCATGGTGGAAGGGCCTGGAGATTGTGGGCCAAGAGACATGGCCAGGCGCGAGGCAAGGCATCAGCAGAATTACAAAAGGTGAGTAGAACTCAGAGACTCTGTATATGCGCTTTCTTGATATTACATGTGTACTCCGCGCTACGCAGATTTCATCATCGGCCTGGAGAAGGACTACCCCTCGACTGTGTCGACTATCGCGCGGACATGTGCGAAGCTGTCCCCGAAAGATCATGCCGTAGGGACATGCATACTATGTAACCGGTGCATCCGATCCTCCTCTGCGTAGTGCCCGTCATCTGACAGCTATCATTTGTATCAGGCCTGCTCAGCCCGGGGTTCAAGAGTGGAAAAATCGCATATCGATCCGGTCGCTGAGCACCGACCCTCCGGTTTCGTCGGAGAAGGCCTCACTCGCGCCTTATCTATGTTATGCCTGCCACACCACCTTGACAAGCAAGAGCAGCAAGGTGCAGCCGAAGCCGAGGTCATTTTCTGCGACAGATGCACCTGGTAACGGTGAAGTGCTTCCACCACAGTGGGTCCAGTCACGTTTGAATCTCCAGGATGACCACGATGAAGTGGTTCGGGGCAACGAGATGCGCCGGGACCAGATGGAGAGCGTATTGCGGGGCTTCCTCATCGACGCTGAGGAGTAGGGTCGGGGATGTCTCTGGCTTTGCCAATCGCCAACTACACTATCTATCTTTGCTCAGTCTATCAATAGTGCGTGTGTCTTGATTTGCATGCTATCAATAGGACAGACGCTATGCTAGCTCTAGTCCCAGCCTATCAAAGGAGCCTTCTCCTAGATTCGGGTTTACCGGTCGAGCGTTGGCTGCGCAAATAACCAACGAGCGCTTGCTTTTAGAGTGAATAAGGTTCAGTAGGGGACATCTCATCAGCGACGACACTGTGCATCGGCGGTATGCTCACGCCGCAGCGTCAGTGTCTGCTCATTATTGGTGCTGACTTGGTTTCAGAACCTCTTTACATGGGCGAAACACTCATTGAGCGCTCTTGCTGGTATAAATATGTCTTGCTTACACGCGGTGGTCTCTGCACGAGACAGACATCGTAGGCAGGCATAGGTATTTAAGGCCGTCCATACCAACAAATGCACGAAGCTAACCGCTTGTACGCCCGAAGGTATCCACCCGTTATACATCTCGTGTAATAGATGTCAGTCTGTCAGTATGCCCAGTCACTCCTCAATACTTCACTGATCGAATCTCTGGATTATAGCTCAGGTGCCAAAATATGTACCTTGGTATGCTCCACACCCAGCTTCGTCCTGGTTCCGTACCTGTCGAGGCTGTAAGGGCACGGATTAAAGATCCTGCTGATATCCTCCCACTTGAAACCCTGACCGGTATATGGAAGATGGTCGTTGCTGATGAAGCCGAGAGTTGCCAAAGACAGCTTACCTTTCCATTCACTGCATCTTGGGTCTCGCATCACTGGAGGAACGTGGCCTTGACGACGCCTACCATATGGAGCAGCGTATACATCGACCGGTACTCCAAGCTGGAACCTACTAAGGCTCAGCTTACGCGGTCCGGAAAGTGCCTGCTGGACTTGGTCATCTATTTCGTGTCAACGCCAGATGAGGGCGTCGAGACCGTCATTGCTTGTGAGCCTGCAATGCGAGACTTCATGGACACCGTTTCAGCCCATGCCGACCGTTGGCGTTCACTCCAGCTTACAATCTACGGCGCCCGAGCGCATCATGGTATACTCCCAATAGAGAGCGCATTGACGCGGCTCCGGACGTTGGCCGCTCCTGAGCTCACAGATTTCTCTTTTACCCCTTGCTTCGAGTATCCGCGGAGCGCACCACTTTTAACCGGCGGGACGCCACGCCTCTCGCGCCTACGATTGGACGGAGTGGATCTGAAAGGGTTGAACAATCTTTTCCCCCACTTAACCTCCCTCAACATCGTGGACGTGCCTGCCGCTCGAAGGCCATCCCTAGAGGAGTTCGTTGCTCTACTTGAAGCATGCTCCAAGCTTGAATGTCTCACCATAGATGGGCCATGCTTCCGACTGGTGCGCGAAGCACGGGATCCATGCCTCAGTGCTACATTGCCATCACTCCTCTCATTGTCTTTATCATTTTCCGACGAATTTTGGGACAGGGCGGCAGAGGAAGGCAGCGTAGTGGCCACGCTGTTCGGCACCATATCAGCTCCTCTACTTCAAACCCTTGTCTTCGGAAAGCTCAGTCACTTGGGTGCGGAAGCAGTTGTTCGTGCTATCACAGTCACCAGTTGTGGCGGTTCTCCCAAGTTTCCTGAGCTGAGCAGGCTATGTCTTTATGACGTCTGCTTGGTCGATCCTTATCAAGAACGGGATCTCAGTCTACCATTCCTCTTATGCTTCCCCTTCGCCAGTACTCTCGAGCTGTCTGGAGGAGATAGCCGAGCGATTCTTGGATGTCTAGCATCGGAGGAGTGGGCTAGCTGTCATGAGCCCATAAGACCAGGCTTCCGTCTCAAGACGCTAGTCTGCCCTGATATCTCATGTTCATGCGATGAAGGGGTTCTTAGCCGGTTCATCTTGGGCCGACAAGCCATCGGTCATTCTATTGCCAAATTGTGCGTAGATTGGACTGACTTCTGTGCGATGGACGTGATAACTCGCAGGTGGCTTTGTGGACAGGTGGAAGTGGTCTTCGACTTCTTTACCTAATCAAGGGTTTCGCTCTTCCTAGGACTAGCAAGTTGCGAGGTCTTACTCTCGGCCAATGTTCTTTCAAATGACGTCTTGTTTTCCACTTTACTGATTCACTGTTTTCATTGAATTCATACATCTTACGGGAATACAAACTGTACGCAATGGTCCCAAAAGATTACAACGTGGGGTACTAAGTAGAACAACGGTCATTAGACTCGTGAAATCAAGCAAATAAACATAACAGTTTCGTAAAATACAGTCCATTTATCCCACAGACTCTATCACCCAAGATTGATATAGCTGTCATGCGTCAGACGAGGATCCTTGACTCGACTGACGATCATCAGGGTTTGCAACAAAGAGGGATGGCCTCTGCACAAGTCCATAATTTACAGTTATATGTCGCCCGCGCGGCCTTTCTTCTCGTTTTCGGGTATTTCGCGGGGGTGGGCTTGTTGGCGACTCGGCGTCTTGTGAGTTGCGCCGCTCGAGTTCTTGCACTCTGCTGGAAACGAGAGGTCCAGACAACCGCCGTCCGCTACTCCGAGCGGTTGACCCAGACGAATCAGTGGATGGAGTTTCCGGAAGGGATTTCTCAAACTCTGGCGTCATTTCTTCAGGTGAGAGTACGGTTGGAGCACTATGCCCTATTGTCGCTGCTGCGGTCGAGACGGGCGGTGACAGAACGGGCGGCGAATATGCGAAACGGTCGTCGAACGGCGACTCAGGCGTACGCGCAGGCGTATGTCCAGCGGCAGCCATAACTGATGAGGACCTCCTCAAGCTGGGCAAATGATTGGATTCCGTAGCATGGCTGAGTGTAGCCCGCGCCGACGTAGATAACGGCGGACTCGTCGCCGCTTCGCTGCTGTGGCCATGACCGAGGGTAGCTTTAGCAGATCCAGACAACGGAGGACTCGACATGTTCGAGCTGGTCCCGCCACCCATATGGCTGGTGACAGCGCGAGCCGAGAGAGACAAAGATCGCGAGGGTATAGACCAACCACCAGAATGCCGCCAGCTTTCTCGCCAACTTTCCGAGCTGGACTCACGGTCATGACCCATTGTCGCCCGAGCACTTGTGGAGGGGGCAGACGAAAACGGCGGCGTGGACCGAGTAGTCTCAGTCACAGGACTGACCTGACTCTCAGAAGTCGTACCGCTAGGACTGGTAACGTGGGAACCGATCCTCTGCACCACATCTACCGTCGCAGCCATCCTCTCTAGCGCCTCGGAGTCAGCCGTCTTCGCCGTCTGTAACGACGACATCGACCGGGCGTGCTGGGAAGAATACGTGAGATTGTGACCTCTCCTATTCTTCAACGACTCAGGCGACTCAGGCGACTTGGAAACCGACTGCGGAGATTCCTCAATGGTAACCAGACGCGGAGGCGGTTGTGGATCCCGGAACTCAAGGGGAGCACGGCTCGATTTGCTGGGGTCGCTATGTCTCCGGTCAAGGAAGGACGTCTTCGCAAACCGCGCCCACCAACTATCTGACCTACGAAGCGGCTCTGACGGACGAGGATTGGCGTCTATCATCGAAATCGTCCTTGGCGGGGGTGAACGAGGAGTGTATTCTTGAGACGAAAGGGAAGATCGACCGAGCGTGGTATATGGGGACGCCACCGCGCCCTCCTGGGAATGCGACGATAGCGAATTAGACATGCTCGTACGCGAAGTTACTTCAGTAACCGGTGACAGGGAATGGCCAGCAGCGAAACGTTTTGGCACCACTGTTTGCAACGACAAATTCGGCGGCCGGCTGAGCAAAGTGCTTTCCTCCTTCTCGTCTTGGCCCTCATCTGAAGCGACGTCGTGGTGACCTTCGCTCCCGCCGTCTTCAAACGGATCATGGTAAGAAGTATACGACCAGACACTAGTCGTTGACGGCTGCCGACTGGCCCGCGGGCGTGTCGGCACAGGGTCGCCCGCACGCATGAGTGAAGTTTCGGAGAACGGCTCGTACAAAAGCTGGTCCTTCTCGTACCACGCCGTGGTAGCCTTGGAGCTGCCACTTGCCTCTCTCGACGAACCCGCTCTCGCACCGGCGGCATCAAACATCGCACCTCCCAGCGAGCGCAGTGAAGCCCATGAGCCCTGGAACAGCCCGCCCAGCTTCGGCCGCTCGGCCCATCCGGACTGGAAGGTCGCCGTACTGGTAGAACTCGGCTGCCTACCCCAGTTGTAGAGGGATATTCGCCCAAAGTCGCGGGTATCTTCGTCGGCAAGCATGTCCCTCCTCTCGGCGGCGCTGTGCGCAACCAGCCCTGTGCTCCGCCCGAACCTTACCAAAGCCTTCTTACCGCCGGCTAACCAGCCCGCACTTGCTCCTGCAGTGCTATCTACCATGCGAGCGGGCAGAATCCTACCGCCTTCCAGATGTGCACTCTCCTCATCGTCACCTCCATCTCCACCAATCAAATGGAACGCATCTCCTGTCTGCTGTCTATGTCTTCGGACATAATACGCAGCTACCGCGCCAGCAGCCAGTAACCCGAGTGCACCAAACAGCGTACCCAGGACAATCGGCAGCGTACGGCTCGAAGAAGAGTCCTGTCCGTCTTGTGTCTGGCCGTCACCTCCTCCTCCAGATCCCGACTGGGTGGGCTGCCCGGGGTACCCCGAACGCGTGCCAGTTCCTGTAGGAGATTGCCCGGGGGGATAAGTCGATCCAGTAGGGGATCCGCCGCCCGCTGTCCCAGTCTGCGTCGCAGGAGGCAACGTCGAGGCGGTATACGTAGGTATCGGGGTATAACTCGGTTGCCATGCGCTATAGGAGATGTCGTATACTTGCAGGGCTGCGGGAGCGGGACCATTGGATCCAAAACCTGCACCGCGCACGTTTAGCAATTATGGTGATCATGGTCATCCCACTGAGACTTACCGAAGCCGAAGACCACTTCAGAGCCCATGGCTATCGCAAAATGGTCTTTACGTGGGCCAAGCTGGGATAACTGGGAGAGGGAACTCCAACTAGCAGGATTCTGACTCGTGTCGAGGATCCATCCATCACTATACGTGGTCTGCAGCGTGGCATCTCCTCCACCATGAATGAGGACCCGATCGCCATCTAGCTTGACTGCTGCAAAACCCCGTCGCGGGGTGGGTAAGTTCGACGCTGACACCGAGAAGCTATACCATTCTGCATCGGACCGAGTGGTATCCAAGGCCCATATGCGGTTGAACGGGACAAGCGAGGATCCGGACGGAGAGTAACCACCTAGTACCAGAAGGGTTCCGTTCGAAAGCACCACAGACGCATGTCCATACAAATCCGGGGGACCATTGGATGTTGGTAGTTGTGTAAACGAGGGGCCGCTAGGGTCAAATACATAGTGATCAGAGAACGCACTACCAGAGCCATCCGCTTTCTCTCCGCCAATGATATACACCTTCCCTCCAGATGAAGATGCTGAGAGATATATGCGGCGTGTAGGCTCGCTCGCCCAGGAGTTGGACTCGGATGTCCACGAAGGCTCTAAGCGATTGTACACATTCAACAGATACGCCGAGTCGGCTTGGTCGACCTGGACCGTTTGCGAGTTCGGTCCTGGGACTCCGCCAAACAGGAGGAGGTCATTTGAGTCGAATGCGGACAGTGTGTGCCAAGCTACAGCAGGCCCTTGGGGCGCGGAGGAATTGGATGAACCGCCGACATATTGCCATGGAGGCGACGAGGGGTCGAATGAGGAAGATAGTGATAGGAAGAGTAGATCATTGTCCACAGGGGCGGAGGTATACGAGTATTCATTGTACGGGTCTGTTCGGCCTCCGTGTACGAACAGGACATCGTTTACAAGTGCGACAGCTTGTCCCCATCTTCGTATCCGATCAGTCAGGCTATGGTTCCTGTTCTATTAAGTGGATACTCACCTAGGAACAGCTGTGTAATCCGCAGAAACGTGGTCGCAAACGAGGGAAAGGACGAGTAGCGTGGATAGTACAGATCGTGTTTGTAGCATTTGTTAGGGAGCGTCAGACAGCCAGGGATGTCTTTCTTGGAAGCTCAAACGAGAATGGGATACATGGAAGGTAATCGTTACGGACGGTCGTCAAAAGTCGTAGCACGTCAGGTCAACCTGGATTGCTTCACGGATGTGGAGTCCAATGGAGTAGTGGCACCCACAACCAGTAGGCGCAGTATCGTGAGAAGTCTCGGTACGAGAGGCCGATCTAGACCGACACAGCTTAGGTAGAACCGTCGGTACTGGGTAACATACTGGCAGAGGCAGCTACATCTTGGACCTACGTTTTAGGGCCCGTTCGGATCGTTGGTTAAGCCTCGGCTTACCCGCCAAAAATGAAGCCAATGGCTAGGTGTTGGCTTCGGATCACAAGGCGAAGCTAAGGGGGTGTTCAGGAACGTTCTACTTAGCCCCAGCTTTCCCGTCACCTTTTGTCACTCTCCGTGCATACTATAGTGATGGGAATGTGTGACTATTTGTGACATTCTCGCGCCACCTCGCTTCGAGCACCTCCGGCTTCGGCCTCATGAAGCTTAACCAACGCCAAACCAAGGCTTAACCAACGATCCGAACGGGCCCTTAGTGTGTCTTCATGCCTCAGGCCTCAGGAGTGGCGCGTCGTCTGGAAGGCGATATATGCGCAAAATTTCGGTTTCGGCACATCAGTTGATTTGCTTTTGCGGGAGGAAGATCAGACCTGACTTACCTCCCGAAACTCATATTCTCTCACCTAGCAGTCGAGTGCACTACGACATGCAGGACCTGCACGTACAGATGCGGGAGCCCGGGGGTACATATCCCCCGTGTTGCGGCAGTTCTGTCGCAGAGGGCTCGCGGGCTCACTGCGTCTGGATCGAGTCCGACGACGAGGTTGGGTGAAGAGGGGAGGTGGTGGGGAAAGTCAACCGCAGAACGTCGAGTTGTGGCCTTCCTACCGTCCTTTTACACCCGTCCTCGGACAGTGCACAAGCAGGGCAAAACAATCTTGACATATGTCAGGAGTGCCGTATCGGGAAACTGCCTTTCCATATCAGGTACTGGGAAGCCGTGATGACGTCGTCCCGACATGTCCTTTGGTGACGTGTTTATCTCCGTTGCTTTGCCAGGGAACAGAAGGCGCTGCCACGATCCGGAACACCTCGTACAAGCTCCCGCTTCAAAGCCTTCGTTGCATGACGAACCGCTGCTTGGAACTTATTGCTGCGGTCTTTGCACCGTGACTTACAGCATCTCTAAGAAAGGATCCTGCTACGCATGGACGTGGTAGATTTCACCAAGACTTCACTCCACAACTTATCTAGAAGCGCGCGGTTCGATCTACGACAGCGTACCCTTATAATTCTATGCATGGACCACCACAGGTGGTCCCACCGCAGCAAGTACCATATTCTTAGCGGGGAAACGCTGTGTCTTCTGCGCTTACCTCGGGGATCGGACACTTACGGGCGCTAAAACGTCTCTTATGGGTCTTCTCAATACATTGAGAGCTGTGAAGACGCCGGTAGCTCCTTCACGCCTCGAGTAGTCGATGCACGAAACTCCCCTCGGTTTCGTCATATGACGCTGCGGACGGAACCGCTATGGCGTGTCCAAGTCTATATAAACCGGGGCTCTCCTTCGAATCCTCACAACGCCTCTCTCACTCTTACCACCACCCACCAGAGCCCAAATCCAATCCTAGACAACATGCGCTTCTACACCGTCGCTCTCCCGTTGCTCGCTGCCATGGCTTCAATCCCCTCCACCATTGCCGGGCCCATCGCCTACGGCATCTGTCAGACCGGTCCGTATGCTCTCTCACCGTGTATTCCTGGATGACAAACGGCTCGGGTGCCTACGCATGCAGGATGCAACGCCCTCGCTGTCGCCTGCTACGCCGGTGCCGGATTCACATTCGGGACCGTCGTAGCAGCCCCCGCGGCCCCCGCTGCAGTCCTTGCTTGTAACGCAGCTCTGGGAACTTCTTCAGCGGCTTGTGCCACGACTGCGCTTATCGCGCCCATTCCGTGAGGTAGGTGTACTATGAGCTGACGCTTCGCCATCTCTGACCTTAGTGAACGGAAGGTGGCTTGACCTCACGAGCGCCCTTTATTTGCGCTTGGCTTCCCTGCTGGCTTTCTTGATGTGCTCGTAGTATGTGATGTACAGCTTTGTTCAAGTATCTGAGTGTCGCTCTCTCCTGCAATGTGCATTTTTA